AGTGGCTATGCTCGTCTTCGGTGTAAACTCCAATCCAACCCACCTAAAGAGGAAATTCCAAGAACACCCCCAAATGCTTGCAAAACTCTATAAATAGAACCCAACACCCAAATGAATTCTCGTCTTCTCCACCATATCTTAAAGCTCTTAAGAAAACATCATCTCTCTTCTTCTCCTCCATTTCGAAATTATTAGTGTAGGAAGCTCAAAATCTTTCATCATTTCCAAAAAGAAGTTTCTTCAACTAGAAGTGTAAGAAAGCTCTCAATTTTCTTCTTCCTTTTCAATTTCGAAAATTCCCTAATGTTTTCTTCTAATTTCTTTATAATTTCTTCAAGGTTCTTGTAGTGGGTTATTCAATCCACCAATTCCTTCATATTCTCAAGAGAAACTAGGTGAGAATTTCATATTCTTGCTACAAGTGATTCTTCACCAATATTATTTCTTCTTTCTCCTTCTTTGTTCTTAATGGCCGAAAATTTGGGAAGTTATATTACTTTGCTTGTTTATTGTTAGATGATCCATGCATGTAATAATCTAAGCCTTAATTGAAATAATCTTGAAGAACTAAGAATAATATGATAATTTAATTTTTATTTATGTATATGTAAATATATATATACTAGACCTGCGTGATCTTAAGGAAACTTCGATCCATGGTTTTCGTAAACCTGCGTGGTCGAAGAAAGTACTTGATCCATGGTTTATTTATAATCTATATGTGCTATATATAAGTATATGTTTCTATGTGTATATATATCGACCTGCGTGGTTGTAAGTGTACTCCCTTCGGGTCGAGGAAGCTTATGATCCATGGTTTATGATCTATGAGTAATAAGATAATATACGAAGATAAAAACCGAGAACAAGATTAATTAAAAATGGAATTGAATGCGATTGAATTGTTGATGGTGGTTTGAATATTTTGGAAAGAAAATGTAATAAATGAAATTTTGTGTTACTTGAGAGAAAACTTCAAGTCTCTTGAGAAAGAGGGCTTGAACTTTAATTAATGAAACTTGGAGATAGTAATTATAAATAACCGAATGCTTTGAATTGTTTTGCTTTATGTGTAAATATGTGATCTACGTTCTTTGCTTGAGTTGTTATATGTCTTACTTGCTTTTGTGATTTTGTGACTAAACTATGTGCCTTTTGTGAAATATGTGGAAATATGTGTGCTTATGTGAAAGCTAACTTTGAATATGTGAAATGAAGAATATATACTAACTTCACTTGCACGTTTTTAAAGTTGGAAAATCTTGTAAAACATAGATCGAATAAGCACGGGGTATGAGGGACCGGTACCCCAAAAATGAGATGAAGAGTGTGTGGTTTGATTCCACTTATGAAACGGGTTCCAAATAAATGAAGGCTTATTGTCTATGGTTTTACTTGATTTTTCAAAGGATATCCGAACAAAAATGTTTTTCTCACACAACTAATCCAGTTGCTTAATTGAATGAAAGTATGTACTAACCTCACTTGCACGTTTTTAAAATTGGAAAGTCTTGTAAAACATAGATCGAATAAGCACGGGGTATGAGGGACCGGTACCCCAAAAATGAGATGAAGAGTGTGTGGTTTGATTCCACTTATGAAACGGGTTCCAAATAAATGAAGGCTTATTGTCTATGGTTTTACTTGATTTTCCAAAGGATATCCGACTAAAGAAAATGATTTTTCTTACACGTTGTATGAGCACTTGAATGAATGTATGTGCAAAAGAATGACGACTCCCTTGTGAGGGATCTCCTCTTATTCCTTATGAAATGATGAAAGGAAGG